AAAGATATCACACATATCTAATTATAAAAGATAACTGTTTTTGTTATATTGTAGAGGACACTCTTTCCCACCTCAGTGGAACTTGTACTGTCTCTGAGTACATGCCTACATACATTTAGATTTCTATAAGATTTTATTTTTTTCCTTAGATAATAAGAATATGAGTTTCAACTTATCAGAAGAGACAGGACTGTTTAGTTTCCTAAGTAAATAAATAAATAAAATCTTCTTATGGTGAAGCTTACACAGAATACAATATAAACACTAAACAGGTATTATGTATAATATAAATTAACAATCGATCATAAATTAAAAAAAATTACGACTCGGGCAGTTATTCTATTGGTTATATATCTATTGGTTATAGCAACCGCACGGATGGCTGAGATTTTTTTCAATTTATATCTAATAGATTTGGTATATATGTAAACTACGTCCATCCGTTTTCCTCAACATCCAGTCGCAGAAGCTTACAGTTAACGGACCGTTAAATTTAACTGTAATCTACGCTTGTCAGAGTCGTTAAGCGTCGTTGTTCCTCGGGATCTTATCTGGGACAATTGATGTTACTCTAATTATTATTACTAATTGCGTATGACATACAATGTCATGTGATTCTGGTTGCTCTGATTGGCTTATCGGCGCACGCGACTGATAAAACTCATATATCGAATTACTTCAATATGATTGGTACGAGCATGGAGCAAGGAAAAATGGTGTGCTTTACACAGATTTGTGGTCACTAAAATCGACGTCCTTTATTTTAGTTATGGTAAGATTTGGAATGTTATATGATTATTGCATTCATTTTTAACTATTTATCTTAGAAAACTATATTATACAATTTAAATGAGACTTACACAATTTTGCAGTGTTTCTTTGCTTTTCAAGCTGTTTAGTCGTCGCTTAGTTGAGTTAAGAACCGTTCTGTTTGTGAAAGAATTGAGCTACCGTGTCATTCTCTAGCAGCCTCATTTATCAATTCAGTGACAGTGGCCTAATAACAAAAAACATGATTTTCAAAAACTGAAATTAAAAACGCGCATTTAACTTTGGCGAAAATAAATTTGTACTATTATTTGTGTAAAAAATATATTGACAATTTTCGATCACTATATATATAACATACCTAAAATTATTCTGCCATGCACGTAATTAATCGTTGAAACAGACTTTGTGCTGGAAATCAATGATGTATTGAATTAATTAGATCTAAAGTTCACAGTACCGTACGAACTCATAATACCTGATTTACCAAGGATGAAAAAGATAAAGAAATTGTACTAGTTTGAAATAATAACTCGAGCGGGGCTAGAACCTTCGACCAACAGCGAATCTTGTTTCAACAAATCAGCTAGCGTGTCTCGCGGTTTGAAAAGCACGAAAGATTCTAATACAATACAATAAGCTACAGGGCAGAAAAGTCGACAACACAACTGCTTACCTGTAAGTGAAAACGATCAGTAAATCGGACAGGTTAATGTCCCATGTCCCTCAGATTTCATTGGTACCCCCACAGCCAAAATAGGTCGGCAGCAGATCTTGTTTAGATGTTAAATAACTGGGGTATTACACCGTCCATCAAGTGGACCTCATGCTTGTCTTTTCTTCATCAGTAAAAACTAAAGTATAGTCTAAACTTTACTTTTTTAATGATAAAGGATAAAAGGGAAAAGGTCGGCAACACACAATGGATGATATTTTTTCCACTGATAGTGGCACAGATTGCAATAAAAGGCATAACGAGGAAATAATGTTTACCTCCAGCGTCTAGAATAAAGTTATCTAATGTTTACACATAATTAATTATAATGATCAATTAATATTGACATAAATTTGCGACGAAGTCGAAGAACGAGAAACCGCTCCATATTTCTCAAACCAATTACGAATGTTGAGCAAATATAAGACTTTCCTTGTAGAAAATATACAATATTGCTATGTAATTCTATAAATCATGTGAGTGCGTAAACTTATTTATCTTATAAAAATTGAAAATTTAAAAAAAATGCACACCGGCGGGAATTGAACCGGCATCCACCGAGTTCCGTGCTGCTGCTTTAGCTAATTGCTTGGAAAACGGTATAGATGCCGGTTCAAATCCGGCCGAGTTAAAAATCATTTTCAAATAAGTTTAACTTTAAAGTATAAATCGCGTTTTTGGCAAACCGTTGGAAAGTGTTTTATTTAAAAGGCAAGTAGTTTATCAGACTTCTGTGCCCTGCCCGTCAAAAACAATTTTTTGTTTCCCTTGGATTCGCAACCAGGACCCTCCCCAGTACCTTCTCGCCCTTAATGTAACTAATGCTAGGTAATACGTTTAACCACTTGGCTACAGAGGCGGTCTCACAGATGTACATAATATAATTACATATACATTACATTTTAATTAAATTATTAATATCACTTGTAACGGTTTATCTTTATTTTTTATTAGGTAGGTATATCGAGATGACGTCCAGTCCACGAACTACAAGTATTAAGCCACGAAGATGTGTAATTTGGCGTTGCAGATTCAGTTTTCCTAATGTCCAAAAATAGGCCTACAGCGCATTTTGTTTAGATGTTATATGTCTATATATTTACAAGTAATTTACTCCATAAATTAAACCATAAAGTAAACCACATGCTTGCACATTCTCTGTTTTATTAAACATTATTAAACATGCAGACATCGCGTCTTTTTTCTATTATCTTCACTTAATGGGCTGTTAGTTTTAATATCGCGTTTAATACCGTTAATCGCGTTAAAAGTGTTTCATTTATTGCATTGCAAAACGTCTTAGGAATATATTATGTATATTCCATTGGTTAGTGCATGATCTTTGTGTAATCCGAAAGTTCTAAGATTCGAATCCCAAGCGTGAAAAAATTAAAAGCAGACAGGAATTCACGCAGTATTTAGGAGGAATTTAACGACTCTGTTATGTCATTAATGCTGAGTTAACGGCCCTCTCGATCTCGCGGAATTATCAATAACAAAACGTCACATGACGCAGACGGCGAGGTTATGAGGTCGAACGTTTGGGTGCCAACAGAGTATCCACGTTACACGCTGATGATTCACAGAATTTTAGCTACGACATCTTGCCAAATAACATTTTACGCAGCTGATCGTGTACGTAACACAACGGGTAATCACAAACACGAGAGGTTGGGTTTTAATCCAGGGGAAATAAAGCAGTTATAAACTGCCCCGTAATTCGATCTGTGAAACGGTCACATGAATGTGTCTGTCACATGCCCCAAATGAGGGTATAAATATTCATTTTATATTGTCACAAAACAAGCAACAGAAAATAATACAAGATAAAAATTATTAAACCAGAAATAAATGGTAGCTTAATAGCTAAATAGCTATCTCTTCCAAGGAACCGTGGTGGAAATTAAAAAAAGTGATATAAAGGTACTAGCGACCCGCCCGGCTTCGCTCGGGTGCAATGCTGATACTAAATACACTACTAGAAAAACTGTGAACGTTGTAGGTATATAGAATCTTTCCTCTCGAATCCTTCCTCTCTTCTTTTTCTCTTGAATTTCCTCTTGACAGCAGAAACTGTACTTACTTAAACTTATAATAACGATAATATGAAAATAACCTTACTTTAATTTACATTAATTACTTAATTTAAGATAAGTAGGGCTTTCAGAAATGCTTTGTAAATTCAATGTTTTTAGTACCATTAATTTTCAATTATAAGAAACAGATGGCGCTAGCAAAATAAACATCATTTTGACATTTGGGACGCCCATCTTTAATCCGCGCGATCACAGATTATAAAGCGTCTAATAAACTGTACACTTTGGGTCTTGTTTAATGTTCAATAAATTTATCGTGATTCAACCTGTTTTAAATGGTTTCATTTAAAAATTCTGATGAAAAATGAAAAATCTTTGAATTTCTCTCTAACCGATATAAATATTATTTATACTAATATGTAAAGCTGAAGAGTTTGTTTGTTTGAACGCGCAAATCTCAGAAACTACGAGTTCGAATTAAAAAATTCTATCTGTGTTGATTATAACATTTATCGAAGAAGCCCATAGGCTACAAAACATCGCCCTGTGACTAATCCAAGCGATGATACAGAGAGAAATGTGAAAAAAATTGGGAAAATTATTCATCGTTATGGGTTTCCGAGGCGTAAGCTGCAAAAACTGATACTCAAAAAATATATAAAAGAATGATTCCTCTTTAGATGAATAGAAAAGTCCGCAACGCTATGTCTATCTATGAAGATTAACTAACAAGAACGACGGGACACGAAACAAAGATCGCGCACGACGGGACGCGTCCGATGTCGACGTCAGATAACAGTTTGAAGTTTATAAAGATGATAGGGTGATTTTCAAAATCTAATTTTGATGCCCAACATAATAACATTATATATTTGGATTGTGTTTAAAAAAATACACGATCACCATTTTTAGCTTTAAAGCAGTTTACACTACCATTTTAGGCGTAACCAACCAAAGTGTTTATATGTATCGTTATTATATAGATTATTTGTTTATTAAGCTATTTTAGTTTTCTCCGGAAATATTTTGTTCTATTCTAGTCTGCTTTCTTAAAACCCAACCTTTCCTATCTGCGAATCCTTTAATACACTCCGTCAAGTAGTGATTTATGATATTTATACAGAAATCTATGCAATACAGTTATCAACATAGATAATTTTAAAGTCTCCTGCACACAGGTCATTTTAACTCATGAGAAATAAAAGAAAATATGATTATATTTATATGTTTAGTGAGTGAGTAAAAGTAAGCACGGAGCTAACTCAATAAAAGTTGGAAAAGCACAATCGTATAAAAATTTTAAACGTTTCGCTGCCGATCTATTATGTCTTTAATAAACCGAATGGCACCGAAATTTGGCACTTACGGCTTTTTTGTCTTGTCTATAGACCCCAAATTTCGATATTCCACACCTAAAATTCAGATCTTTAATGTTTAAGAAAATTATAAAATAGGAATCAAACCGTTCCGACCGAAAAAAAATGTTCACGACCAATGAGCTCACAGCAGGAAGTTCTTTGCCCCCTAAAAGTATAATACTTTACGATGTTATAACAAATCTGCAAAAAAAAGATAATATTTCTGAGTGACGTCATTAAATCTTTATTTTAAACAAGTTAAATTTATCGGAGAGATTAACTTTTGCTAGTCTGTTTAATTACTTCGGTGTTTTATTACATTTTTTAAAAGGAATTAAGTAACTATAAATATTAAATTTCAGGCTTCTTATAGGCATTGAACAAAAAAATAAAAATATATTTAAATTAAAAACAAACTTAAACCGGCATCAACATCCATGGATTCCGGAAAGCCCGTTGAAGAACCGCCCGTGTCGTTATTTTTTTTCAGTCTAAATAGAGCTTTAATTTATGCAATGCCATTGTGTCAAAAATATTAAAAATTTATTTTTCCACAGATATGTTAACATTTCCTATCTTTACTAATTTATAAAGATAGGAGGTTTGCAGTAACTACATTCTAAGTTCTAAGTAACTATTCTACGCGAAGTCGCTGACATAGCTAGGCAATACACCTGTGTACAGTCGCCTCTATCGTTTCGTACTTATCACTGTAGTCAAGACCGAATGATAAATTCTAAGACGGCTCGTGTTATCATAATGTGCCACCTATTTTTAATATGACATTGCTCAATTATATTATGCCAAGTATATTGAAGGGGAAAACTATATGCGGGTACCAACATAACTTATGATAATTAATTCGTTTATGATTGGAGTAACCGTGGACTTAAGGCCTAGCACACAAAAAAAATATACGTTAATTACATTTTGTCAAACTCGTTTGAATAATAAAAGCAATGTATGGCTAATAATCAACATGGGTCAAATGTACTAAAAACGGTTTAAAATTTATTAAAAAAATCTTCAACATATTGGACTTCCTCTGGAAATCTGGATGTTAAATGAGTGATAAAAAATATCGAAAATCCGTCCGGTACGAATCACAGAGGAAAAAGCCATGGAAATTAATCGCGTTTCGGTTTCATTCTGTGGATTTCCGAATATCCAAAGCCAAAATAGGCCAACAGCACATCTAATTGAATACTCCTTTAAATAAAAAAAAGCAAAGCCACTTTATTACCAGTTTGATTCGCATGTTCAAGGAATTTTGTTTATTTAAGGACACCTGTTTAATTCGTATCTTAATTTAATGTCAATATTCCATTTATTACGACAGTTGTCACAACTGTTTCCGAAACAATAGCAAGTTCATATACGAAATAGCTGATCCAGCAAAATGAATATCGAATTGATACAACTCTTTTAAATAATATAAAAATTAATATAAGTATATATCGCGTTTAACACTTTAACGGTTTAAAACACGATATATACTTATATTAGTTCAACTTATTTAAAATGTGGCTTTAAAGGTCTCCCCCGTGACCACGGCTGCTGCAAAGCACCCAAAACCGGCTAGTTTTTAAATAGGAATATATTCTCGTTTAAACCCGTTAAAGTGTTTTAATTAAATGTGTACTACATGTGTAAACTACAGATAGTATTTGATACAACTCTAACAAATAATTGGTAGTAATACATTAATTTTGACCCAATTTAATTACCATAGACACGATTTTTCTAGTTGATCTTAAGCGATTGAGATATAGTATCGCTAATATTTTTTAGATCATTTACTGCTTGTTTACTTTTAAAGCCTTACTCGATAAATTGTCTATCCAACACAAAATATTTTTTCAATAGGAGCCAGTAGTTCCCGAGATTGACGCATTTAAACAAACAAAATCTTTGGGTTGTATAATACGAGTATTAGTATAGATTTACGGTAATAATGTTATTTTTAAATGATGTCTCTGAATACTCATGAAATTTCATTATATGAAAAAACCCACTTCCCACTAGGGTAAACCCAGCAATATTGAACATGCGATACAACAATGTATTTATGCGCTGCCGACCTATATTGGCTTTGGACATTCGGAAATCCACAGACGTTTCGGTTTAAAAAATCGCGATTAAACTTCACGGATTTTTCATTCATGGACGTTGGTTCGTGACCCAGACGGAATTGCGTTATTCCTAACACCCATCTACTATTTAGATTTCCACTCGAGGTCATACATATTTAAAAAAAAAACAATATTGTTTTTGACATAAAACACTTTTAACTGTTGAAAACCGAAATTAAAAGATTCCGTCGCCCCGTGACCGCGGCTGCTGCGAAACATTTGTAGTTAAAATAATTTGATTTTAAAAACATATTGGACCTGGTGGAAATTGAACTCACGACTGTTATCAGCCATACTGTCATTGGACCATAGAGTTCGTCGGAAACCTTGTAATATAGTGTACATATAGTCTGTAGGAAATGCAGACAATAATTTTAATATTAACAAACATCGTCATTACAGCAAACAATCGCCTAATACAATGTCAATAATTATCGATAATTAATATCGATAAATAGCGCGTCACTTCGTAGTGGCGGAGTTATTGCGTGGACCCTTTTCTTGAATGCCAGTCTACCGGTTGACACTCGAGAAACAAAACGTTTATTGTGCAAATTATTATTACAGATAGTGAACGAATCGGATTTATTACTTAACATCGCGGAGTAACAGCTGTGAGTATTATTTATCGACTAATAAATAAATGTTAATAAATCTATTAGGATTTTTTAAATATTTCGCGCTTCAATTTTCGACAACCGCGAACTTTCACTTATGTGGAGTGTTTTGAAACTTGTTCATTTAAAAAATTTAGAATTCGATCGACAAGCGCGGTCTCATCCCTACTTTGTAACATTTAAAAATGGAATGTAATTTTTAAATTATCGTTGAGTATTTGTTTTTTATTTATAATAATATACGAGAATTATTATCACATAAAGAAAGGCTTAGGAAGGCTTTGTGAATTCTCAGACTTAAAACGCCACGAGCGAAGGTTTAAATATGACCGCGGTTCAACGGAAGATGATTTTTACATTCTTTAACTCACAATACGGGTTCCTGGGTGTTAAAAATAGTAGGGCTCGCACAAGACGGATTTATCGGCAGAAATGTTCGATTGAAGCCAATTTCTTTTGCGTATTTTGTACGACCTTAATTTGTTGAGTATACAGAATTTATATTCAACCTACTTATGGTAAACGAACATTTTCGGGTATTAAGAGGCCAGTGATAATAAAGCGCCCGACGTTTCGGATGCTTTGCAGCAGCCATGGTCACGGGGAGACTTTTACTTTAACTTACTTTATATATATATATATATATATATCGGATTTTAAATCGTTACAGTGTTTTATTTAAATGTGTACTACTCGCGTAGACAACAGACCGTATTTAACATTCAAATTTCGAACGCGTATTTGAATTTGGAACCTACTCCATCAAGCTCGGGTTCAGAGAGTTCAGAGTTAAAAATAGTCCCTAAGGATACTTTTTCTAGTGCCTAGGTGCTGTGGTATTTCTGTATCTCCTGGAGATACAAAAAATACGAACGGGAACCGGTTTACTTAGCGCCTCTAGAAAAGTCTTAGGACTGAAATTGACACAGCTTGAACGGTAAAAGCAGCATTTTACACTTGTCGACGTGAGCTTAACGTAAATACAAAATATATAACTGATTTTTAATCAAAAGTAAGGTGTAAAACGAACTTAAAAGCATATAAGCATTAGCAAGTCCATAATACCTAAAAAACACTTTAACCGTTTCAAACGCGATATATATTAGTTAAACTTGTTTGGAAAATATTTTAACTACTTAATTATTCCAAAACGTCGGGCACTAGTTAAAATAATTTAACTTATATACATCGCGGTTTAAACCGTTTAAGTGTTAGGTACTACTCGCGCATACTACAGACAGTATTTAAGACCATAAATAATACATAGATTAACTGTTACATGTCTATCAAATGGCGAGAGGTTCCAATCCCGCCCGTGACCAAACTTTAAAGTGTGGAAAAGTTCAAGTCTATCAATGATATACTAAAATATTTCGCGTTTGAAACCGTTCAAAGTGTATTTAATATTTTAATATGATATAGATCTTACGCACCATGAAAATTTTAAAAGGTTACTTGCGTTCTATACTTTGATATGAACAAAAAATTTAAACCCAACATATTCAACTTCCTGGTATAAATGCTTTAGTATCTAAGGTGGTTATTGATAAAAATACGATTTATTAGATATAAGTACATCTATAGATAGATAGTACGTCTCGTTCATGATTTACTAATAATTATAGTGTTTATACGTGATTGATATAATTTCTATAATGTGTTAATTATGTACAATTAAATTCTTATATAATAAAATACTATCTGTAATTTATGTGAGTAGTACACATTTAAGTAATACACTTTAAAGGTTTCAAACGTGATATATATTAATTAAAATCATTTTCAAAAAAGTTTAAGTAATATATACGCTTTTTAAACCGTTTAAGTGTTTTATATGATAAGTTATGTACATAATAAAAATTAATAATCTGTATTTACAATTGGTAGGATTTTATCCCGTAGTTCCCAACGTGGGTTCTAGATCCATTTGTAATTTTTCTGAATTCTGAAAAATTACAAATTGGTCTAGCCACGAACTACGTTGGAAAGCCATAAAGGGGATCGAATCCTCGACCAAGTTTACGAGGGTAGTACACATTATTAATTAAACTACTTATGTAACGGATTACAAGTTATTATTAAGACTTTAAACGTTTTTGAAAGTGATTTTATTAGTTGACGTTTCGGATGCTTTGCAGCAGCCGTGGTCATGGGGAGACAAATGATGGAGGATGTCTCTGACGTCAAAATAATGTAAGTCTAGCGCCATCTGTTCCGTCGAAGTTGGTATTTGGCGGAATTGGCCGGGTCCTTACAGAATCGACTAACGGGCCCGTTCTATCGCGTTTTAATCTTAAACCGTTTTATTTAAATCTATAAAGTGTAATCGAGATTCGGTTTCTGTCTGATATTCAAGTATATAAAGCCGAAATAGGTCGACAGCGCATCTTGGTCAGATGATATTTTGCTCAGGTTACTTTAATATTTTTCCCATGCTATTGTATATGATGGCACTATATAAAGAAATCGATTATAAATTGATAAAAATTACGACTCGGACAGGACTAGAACCGGCATCGTCATCGTTCAGCGCTGTTGCTCTAACCAGGAGGACAGACAAACATGTCGAATCAATAAAAGTGTTCTAAACGCTTAGATAACTTCTATATTGCTTGTCAGCTTGATTTACTAGCAAGCTCAAATCAAGACGATGCTGCAAAAGCTGGTCTTATAAATCATTATATAATAATATTAAGTATGATTGGACTTTGCGCTTGGAACTTGACTTTAAAAATGTTATAAGGCCAATTCTATATACGTGTACAATATACGTCGGGCCGTAGTTAAAATAAAGTAAATCAGTGACACGGAGATAGTATTGTACGGACATTCTAGGTTTGAATCTCGGTGACTTTAAAATTCTTGAAACTGACTATACATATTAAAGACGTCAAAGTGTCTGTAACTAGCATCGATTAGAACAGACACAGATATATGATAGCTTACCTTTCTATAATATATTGAGTCTGACCTAACAAATCGTGAAGACACAAAAATGTGTACGTGCGATGAACAAGTTTTCGCTGTATCAATACTTATAGCTGAACAATGTATACATATTTAAATAAAGCACTTTGACGGTTTAAAACGCGAATAATATTAGTTAACTTATTTTTGTTTTATTTAACAACGGCCCGCCGATTCGTAGTTCGTCCGTAACTGCTACAAGCGAAAACAAGTAAACCAATATAATTCACGTTTCAAACCGTTAAAATTGTTTTATATAAGTGACTCACGCAGACAATACGAAACGGGTATTTCTGAAATATATATTAATTTTACCTCTAATCTTGTTCTTTGTTACACAAAATTTATTAATGTCAAAAACTTGTATATAACTTTTATAAGTAATTATAAGTTTTCAAATTGATTAAACTTCACACGGCCTTAATATTTATTACGTATTATCTAGATGGTAGCAATGTTTAGTTAATAGACAAGTAGTTAAAATGAAAGTTAACTAATAGATTTTGCATTTGAAACCGTTTAAAGAGTTTTATTTCATTTCCACAGAATTTCGGGATTCAAGTTTTACTTAGTTTAGTAACATTTGTTTTATCAAAATCGGTCAAACCTTTGCGACTTGACAGAGTAACTAACCATACGAATTAATAATCGATAGTGAATTGGAAAAAAATTACGACTCGGGCAGGACCTGAACCGGCATTCTCAGCGTTACGTGCTGTTGCTCTAACCAATTGAATTACTATAAGTAATTTTTGATTTTTAATTGATATAGTGCCATCGTGTGTGTGTTTTCAAACCATACACACCTTAAAAAATCCACATGTATAGGATTTAAATTCTATTCAACAATACCTAATATCTAAATACTATTATATGAGAAGATCTATGACTCTGCATTTTACACATCTTTAATAGTTACATTTGCAAATAGGGAAGGTAAAGAGGCAAATTACAAAACGCGTTACAGGACTAAGCAATAAATTGACGTCACCTTCACAAGGCAACCATAATCACGATGAATTACGTAGTATCCCAGTGTTGGGCTGTTGGCCCACCATTCTGCTGCATTGCGGGTAGGCGGGTTTTATAGATATTTACGATTATTTACTAGCTGACCTGCCAAAGGTTCTTTTGAAGTATCAACACTAAAGTTAAAAAGATTCTTGCGTGTTGATCTTCAGAGATAGACTGTCGCGGACACTTTTTAAAGAATGTTTAAATAAGAACAATACTTTCATATATTTTTTGACGCAGCGCGCGCAGCGTGAGCCCTGTAAGATTAATATTTTCTCCGTTTTTTTACATTTTCTACTGCATTTTCGTTTTTATTGGTCTCAGCCGGTTATTCTTTAGCCATATATAACTTTTTCCTGTTTTTGAAAACAGTCCACAGATAAGCAGTGTTTTTGAGTGTGTTTGAGTTTGAAATTTAGTCTGTTGGTTTTCCAAATGTTCAAAAACAAAATAGGCCGGTAGCGCATTTTAAAAGGCTAGAACGATACGTTGCTGTCATTCTCTACAGAAGTGGTACATGTATAAAATGTGTTTCTTATTTACAGACAAGGATGGGCGAAGATAGAGCCGAAAATGCGGAAAACTTGAAAGAAAACCCGAAAAGCGAAGAAGATACCAAAACAACTGCAGAAGATAAACCAACCAATACCCAAAAGCATACGGAACCCAAGAAAATCGAAGAGAGGTCGCAATATGTACAAAATATAATGCATTCCGGCCTATCTTTGCACAGCAATATAATAAAAGACGAAATGCTGCTGCCAGACTCGAAGACGGTTGCAAGATTTTCACCATTATGGAAACAGGTGCTTATAAAATATAGTGGTAATAAATAAACAATACATTTTACATTATAGAACCGGCATCCACAGCGTTCCGTGCTGATGCTCTAACCAATTGACACGCCTGAAAAGTCGATTTTTCATTTGTATCACGCCATCATGTGCAATAAATAACATGTGAAAAATATTAAAGTTTTCACATGTTATTTATTGCACTCATTTCATCACATTCAGCAATAAGTAAAATATAAAACGAAACACAGAAGTTGAGACAAAAAAATTAGGTTGTTGTCATTGAAAAGATGAACAATGGATATAAGTTGTTAAACGCAGTTATATTTGTATTTAAAATAATGCAATTTTAAGCTTGTTTGAGCTACTCGTCCTTTTATATGATTTAACACTTTTTTTACACGCTTAGTACATATAAAATTAGCTCTTAACGGTTAAATCTCAAAATATTTACCTATTAAAATTTATTAAAAAATATTAATAATAAAAAAAACATTTATTTAAAAGTTGCACACAAAAATAATAAATATGAATTAAGGTTAATTTAATAACTAAACTTAAACAAATGCTTCAAAAAAAATATCTATTCCAACTCGTAAAATTCGCGTTTTAAACCGTTCAAAATAATATATATGAATTGAGAAATACTTTTTATTTACAATTTCCACCAATCAAAGTGTAATGAAAATGATGTTTAAAGATATATTGATGCTGTTCAAATTTCTCCGGGTCACAAGTCACTAAGGGGTAAACGCTTGACGTACGAATAACAAGTGTCAAAGCAATAAAACCGCGTGGGTAATAACATTGATAAGTCTTGCGTATGAGGATACTAAAATTCGCAGTGAAAATTTCATCATTACAATTGTTATTAATACAAGACAATGATTACTGTTACGTTCAGTTATATTTATATATTTAATTTATAGTTTTAACGGCTTAAAATACGAAATTTTAAATTAGTTGTTTATCAGTCTAAACATTCCGAAGCTTTGCGACATCCATGATAACAGCCTTAGTTAACCAGTATATCTCTGCGTTTTAAACTGTTAAAGGTGTTTTATTTAAATGTGTACTTCTCGCGTAAAATATAGACAACTATAATACAAGTTCTCTTTTATATTCAGGTCAAGAGCATAAAACAATTGCGTATCCTATTGTCTTGATAAGATTTCTTTTAAGTGGTCAATAAAATCTACTGCAAGCTAGTTAATTGTACTGAGAAATAAAAAATACTGAATGTGAAGGACTAAAAGAATCTGCAAATAACTCTAAAACTATATGAGGTAAAACTAACTAGAGGACATAGTAGCCTAACTGCAATTTTATGTCTTGACTTATTTATATTTTCATAGTTTTTTGTTTAATTCAATTATCTTTTTTTGTTATTAGGCCACTCTGCCTCTAACAGCCTCATATAACGTAACGTTTTGTTTGTATGTATGTATTAAATATTATAATCTAATTCCTACAATGTACAATTTCAAAGACTTAAAAATATATTTTAGTGAGAAAATTTTTACTCTGTGGCAGCAGCGGTCTCGCATTAACGTTTTGTTCTTAGTACTATTTTACAAACATATTAATTAAACAATACAATACTTCGTTTTTGTAGAAATAGACATTATGTATCTAGCGCGCTTAATCTATAAACTAGTAGTAGAAGTAAAAAATAACTTAGCGATAAATGGAGTGGCGGCGAGTTTTTTGCCAGTTCTTCTCGTTCGTTCTACGCCCTGGATTTGAGAACTGATAGTAAATGTAAATTTAGAGTTTAAATTTTTTACTGTATTGACATTTATAGGTACTAGTTACGCGAGTAGTACAAATTTAAATAAAACACTTTAACGGTTTAAAACGCGATGTAATATTAATTAAACTTATTTGAACATTATTTTAACTACGTGTCTACGTTTTCGGAAGCTCTGCAGCAGCGGTGCCCCCGTGACCGCGTAAACCCTTAAATTATGTATTTAAATGTGTACAACTCTCGTAAACTACAGACAGTATTTCAGAAACATGTCTATATAATTAATATTAGTAACATTATACATAGTTAAAATAGAGAGAAGAAAACACGGTTTAAAATTATATTATATGTCGAGTGTTAAATTATTAAAGGTTTTCATTTAAACATGTTTTCGACTTAAGTAAAATATCCTACGCACTAAGGTCGTTTAATATTTACGCAAATCACTCAGGGAAGTCTGAAGACCTCTTTACTGAGAATAGTAAAGTTTATAGGTTACGCAAAGTTCATCACTATATTGCAAGTTGCAACCTCAATACGCCGATTGCTGATTGAGAGAAATAGACACAAGTATTGCGTAGATTGAGTGTTAAATAAAACATTCTGAACGGTTTTAAAGTACACTGCTTAATGCAGGGTGCAAAATCTAAGTCAACATTAGTTCTGAGGCCGTGGAGTTCTTTTTTTATGGCCTGGAATGAGTATATAGGATGGGTTTATTTTATATCGGTTTAAGGTTTAAACCACTCTTAAGAAAACAGGAAACCTATAGAGGACATCATTGGATATAAACTGTTTGAAACGCGAAAAATATAAATTCAATATTTGGAAATCCATAGACTGTAAGCGACACGTTATTAAACTTGACAGCTCTTTCATCTGTAGACGGTGGTTCGTGACTCGCACGGAATTAAAAAATTCCGACTATAACCAGTACCTATAGTTCTGGGTTCAAATTCCGCTTGCGTTATTTATGAATCTTAAATATATCTATAAATTAAATAATCAACCTGGTAAGAACCGGTTGATCTTCTTCTGAACACCTGATGACTTGATTGCTTGGCATTTTTTCTCATAGTATAAAGTTCATCAAACTTCACAAAAAAGCATTCAACCGTAATCAAAAAGTCATAGGTCAACAATAAACAGCGTATATACTAGCTGTACTCACGACCTCGTCTGCGTAGAATAGTTATTTTGGGCACCAACATTTGTTTTTGCAAACCTCCTCCATCTATATAAATTAAAGCTGTAACCCACTACGTCGGTCGCGTCCCGTCGTTCTTGGAACGTAATCTTAAAAGATAGACATTTGCTGTCGGGGACATTTTTTTTTAGATTATTTTAAGATAAATCATTCTTTCATACATATTGTTTGGGTATTATGAACCGTTTTCGAAGCGTACGCAACGAAAACCGACAAAGATCTTTTTTTTTCGTTTTTTCTCACATTTCCCACTGTTCCTTCACTCCTATTGGTCGCGGCGTGATGTCTTATAGCCTAAAGCCTTCCTCGATAAATGATCTAACCAACGCAATTTTTTCAATTCGAACCAGCGGTTTCTGAGATCAGCGCGTCCAAACATACTCTTCAGCTTTTGTGTGATTTATGATTTCAATTCTTTCAGACTTTAGCGTCCATGGCTGCCATCTGCCTGACCTTCACCGCTGGACTGACTTCAGGGTACTCAGCTATCCTGCTGCCGCAGCTAAAGGATTCTGACAGCACAATACCAACAGACGAAAGCACAGCTTCTTGGATAGGTACGTAGTTTAAAACAAGTAGATAAAAGAAAACTGAGTCTTTTATTTTGCTCTACCAATAGAGCTACCGTGTCTCAAAACTTTACCAGCATGGTATTCTGGATTCGTGAGTTCGAGTCCAAAAAATTAAGTCTAAAATAAAACACGTTTTTAGAATAGAATAGAAGGCGTTTCTGAAACACATGAAATATTAATTTACTAAGTACATATAAATTTATTAAACATAATATAGTTGCTTCCGAAAAGGAGTCCAGTTACGTTGGGACTAATGTCCCAACACTGATATTCTTTTGACGGTTTAAAACGCGATATATAATTGTAGTATATATAACTACGGAGATTGTCTGTAGTAACTAAAACAAGATTTTGTTTTCTTTACTTTGATTTATACATCTTTTGCATGGATGCCGTTTCAAAACCTGCCCGTGTAGGTCTCTTTTGATCTAAATAGATTTTAATTTGTATGTTAAAAATAATGTAATTAGGACGAAAGTAGATTTCAATCAGTAATTTGTGTTGATAATAATTGAAACATTATCGTGATATTATTTTTAATATCGCGTTTTACAAAAATATCAATCAAAGTCATGTGACCTAATTTATGTAATCAAGACTTAAAAGTTTGCATATTTTCATTTATTAAATATCTTTCAAACTGAGCGGACACATTTTGTGCTCGTTTAACTGCTACATCTATTTTATTTACAAGCAAATAACTAAAATCCGAAGCCGAAGTTAAAATCATTTTCAAATAAGTTTAACTAATATATCGCGTTTTAATCCGTTAAAGTGTTTTATTTAAAAGACACATCGCAACTATTTAAAATAATCACTTCATTATATACAGGATGGTTGGTATATATATTTTTTTCTGAATATAAAAATAAAATTCGCTTTTCTGTTGTTTAAGAAGGTATTTAAAACTGACGTTTTGGCGGGTCCGTTGGTTCAATGTCGGGTCGTGGGTTTGATCCCCACCACTTCTAATATACTTTTAATAATTTGATACTTTTTCGAAACATGCTGGCCTTCGTCTGGAACTCTAACTGGTGGGAATATCTAAAATCACGCACCACTGTCCACAGATAAAAGGACGTGCAGTATAATCGCGTTTCCTAATATCCGAAGCCAAAGTAGATCGACATTGCATCTTTTTTAGATGACACATGTCATTTGATGTCACCTGTCATCAAATGAATCTCGCGCTGGTCTGTCTTCCTCTATCATAAAAAAATAGCTTAAATGCTTCCAGTTTACCTTATTGTCATGTTTTTTTCCATAACATTGTCTACTTGTATACAATTGCAAAGAATTTTGCCTTAATCACGAACTCGTTCTGCGCAATCGCAAACGCAACAATTATCTATTCATATTAAATGCCCTCTTTGTGTTATCTAATAGTATTGAATCGTGTTTATAATACAATTATTACGTCATTATTTTACTATCAATCCATTTACATCCCACAGCTGGACCCAGTTTATATATAAGATATATTTAGAAAAATATTTTTGTGTTGGATATACAATTTGCTGCGACCAGTAAAAATATAAATAGGCTTTAATTGAATGTCTGTCTGTTGGAGTGTCGTCGTACTTATATAGAAACTAGCTGTGCCCGCGACTTCGTTCGCGTAGAACAATTATTTTGGAATTTGGGCATCATAATATTTATTTTTACGAACACCTCATCACCTTTATTAATTTTGGCTGTTATCACAACGTTCTTGCTAGTTAATCTTTAAAGATAGTCAATTACTATAGTGGACAGTTTTCACACCGTTTTTCTCCGCTATTTTCATATTTTCCTTCGCTCCTATTCGTCACAGCCTGATGTTTTATTGTATAGTGTGAAATGGCTAGCCAACGCAAAATGATTTTTTTATTGGAATCATTAGATCCTGAGATTAGGGCGTTCAAACAAAATCTTCAGATTCATGATTTGAGTATAGATGTATATAGAATTTCTGTGTACATATACTCGTACTGTAGGTATGTCCTCAATGCTCAGATTAACAAGTTCGTTATTCGTGGAATAAAGAACGCTGGAACAACATTTTCGATAATTATTTATCTAAATGACAACGAACCGCCTTGACTCACTTCCCAGTATTTGCTCTTCCTCACTCTGAATACGTCTGAAGATTAAAATGAACTTTATAATATTCTCAATTACACATCTGCTAGTGTATGATTAAAATTATATTTGAGACTAGTTGTTACCCACGACGTCGTTCTTGCAAGTTAATCTTAGTAGATACACATATACTGTCGGGGACATGTTTTTAAATGATTGAGAGAGGAATCTTTTATATTTGGACTCCTTGCGACATTTTCTCTGTTTCTGCCTCCGCTCCTATCCTATCTATAGCCTTAAACCTAAAGCCTTCCTCGATAAAAAGTGTATCCAACATGAAATTATTACAAATAATTTTTCAATTCTAACCGATAGTTTCTGAGATTAGCGCGTTAAAAACAGACAAAGTCTTCGCCCTTTTAATATTATTATAGATTGAATATGTAATTGTCGGTAGTTAACGCTAGTAGTACCCATTTTAATCAAACAGTTTTAACGACTGTATTCGCAGAAAATATTTCTATTTTTAAAAATGTCCCGACAGCAGCCAGGGATGAAAATTGCCGTAAATTAATTATCGATCGATCGATTTATAGACAATACTTAACCATTTACTTGTAAATAAATTACAGACACAGACAAAGCATTCTGTGTTTGCCCTATAACCGTTACAGGAACTGTAAAGACTTTTTAAAATTAATTAAACCATAGACCTATCTTGACTTCGAAGTATTCATACGATACGAATAAAAAAAAATGCATTATCTTGTAAAATCAATTTGGATTTACAGTTATTTCCAATTTTATTACGAAATATTTAACTTAATTCCTTTATAAAACAGGTAACCAAAGCATTCGGATAAACGACTCCGCTGTGGATGCATCCTTATGTTATTTTGTTATGTTGTATGATATTTGAGGACATTGGCACTTTATCATAACGAGAAATACTGTATATACATTGAAACAATGCATATCGTTATAGCTCATATAAATCAACACGTTGTGCTGAGATAAATATTCTAGGCCAATTATAGACACAAAGGAAATACTTCGCTCTATATTAAAATGTTTACTTTGTGAGGTCTTAGTTTTACCATTGAATTGTATATAACAAATATATTTTGATTGATGTCCTGGGTTTGACACCTGTAATTAGACACAGATCATCTACGTATGTTTAATAAAATTGATACTGTAGTCTGTTCGTACGTTTAAATGAAACACTTTCAACGGTCTAAAACGTGGTGGTGGTGGTAAATATTAGTTAAATTATTTAAACTATAGGCCGACGTACCGCATTCTTTGCAACAGCATGGGTCACGGGTTTTTATTTAGAATTGATCTAAAACGTCGGGCCGAAGTTAAAAATCATTTTCAAATAAGTTTAACTAATATATCGCGTTTTAAACCGTTAAAGTGTTTTATTTAAATAAAATTGATCTGTCAAATGGACGTAGCACAGTTCTTAGCCAATACCCCAAATAAAGGATATTAACGAACTGTTAAAATGTTCGCTGTCAACAGATTAAGAGCAAGCTGAAAATCAGCATTTCTTATGGATGGCTCTTATTTGTGTTATATATTAGCGGTTTACAGTTAAAGATTCGCATTTTTTAAATTTCATTTTTTTATATAATTTATTTTAATCTACTTTAATACAAATATTTTTAAAAACTGTAAGTTGTATAGCAGCAAAATAAATTATTTCTATTTCTTTTTTCCAGCGGCAATGGCAGCGCTTCCAATGGCTCCTGGTTGCTTAATAGCAGGCTGGCTTATGGAGAAGTTCGGGAGACGGAACGCCCACTACATGGTCTGCGCCCCATTCCTCTTAGGCTGGATTCTCATAGCCTGCGCCAATAATCTAGCCTTGATGCTGCTAGGAAGATTCTTTACGGGACTCTGTGTTGGACTTCTAGGTCCCCTTGGCCCAGTATTCATCAGCGAAACAACAGATCCAAAATACAGAGGGATCTTCCTCGCTGGGATCTCATTAGCGATAGCCGTGGGAATCTTCGTCGCCCACCTCATTGGTACCTGGGTGCATTGGCAGTGGACAGCATTAATATGCTGTGTGTTCCCTTTAATCTCAGTATTTCTATTAAGCATGATACCAGAGAGCCCCACCTGGCTCATCGCTAAGGGAGAAGTCGAAGACGGCGTGAAAGCCTTCGGCTGGCTGAGAGGATACAGCGACGAAGCGAAAGCTGAATTAAAAGGAATCTTAGAAAAGAAAAAAATTGAGGACGCAAAACCAATAATGACATTGAAGCAGAAGCTGATCAGCTTGAAGAGCCCCGAACTGATAAAACCGTTGTTCATCATGATAATATTCTTCGTGACCTGCCAATTCTCTGGCGTCAACGCGGTCGCGTTTTATTCCATAGAGATAATTGAAAAGGCCGTGGGCAAGGGAATAGACCATTATCTGGCTATGCTCGTTATTGATTCTATGAGGACCGTGATGTCGGTTGTAGCTTGTGTTATTTGTAAGAAATATGGACGTAGGCCTTTGTGTATGATTAGTGGGATTTTCACCGCGTTGTCCATGGTGGGATTGTCGATGTTCCTGTACTTTACGGACGGAAAACAGACGAATATGACTTGGTTCCCGTTGACCTGCTTGATGGCTTACATCTGCGCGATATCCATCGGGCTTGTCCCCTTACCGTGGATGATGTGTGGTGAACTCTTCCCCACGAAAGTAAGAGGCTTGGGCTCAGGAATAAGTTCAGCTACGACGTTCGTGTCATTCTTCATAGTAGTCAAAACAGCTCCCGGTATGATGACCAATTTAGGTGAAGTACTTACATTCCTCTTATACGGAGTAATAGCTCTTGTAGGCACTGGTATTTTATTCTTTATCTTACCAGAAACTAAGGGTAAAAGCTTACAGGAGATCGAAGATAAGTTTAAAAAGCCAAAAGAAAGCATAGCGTAGAGTAGTAAGTATTTTATGAGTGCTCAAAGCAAATTTTATGTTAATCTGTGATATTATTATTTTTAGCAAAATATTAAAAATTATTTAATTTAATTCGACTTTCATTTGGACCTTAAAGTAAAACTCCTTATATTTAATTATTATATTATTTATTTATACATGGCACAATAAATTAGCGAATCAAATATATTAACAGACTATAATTAAATATTGTTAAATGCATCCTGGTACATAAAAAATGCTGATTAACCAGATAAAGGCAGACATTTTCGAGAACTAAGTGTGTTACAAAAATATATGTCCTAACAACACGTTAATTTCCAAAAAGTCAATTGGATCGTTTTCGTACAGTGTTAATGATAAAGTAAAATATTAGTTCTTTATATGGGCGTATGACGCAGATTATCATTTAGACCTAGGCTTCACGAGTCTGGAAGCTGGCGGAGCAAATTTGGCGAAGCCTTGTTGGTCGAAGACTGGGAGTAAGTCGCGAACGCGCGCAGACACTGTGCCCCCGGTCACCCTGGAAGTATACGCTCTGTGAAGAGAAAGAATTAGTTTTTAGGTTATGGTGCGTGTGGTCTGAGGCACTAGGTGCATCGTGATAAAACATCTACGTGTCTGTAAGTTACGCGAGTTGTTAATAATATTTTAAAGAAAACCCTGTTGATTTCTAGCCTATTAGATAGAGAGAGACTATATTAAATTAAAGTGAAATAAGTTACCAATATATTTCGTGTTTTAAACCGTTAAAAGTGTTTTATAGAAACGTGTTTTATAAAAGCTAGGTACCCAGAAGACACTTTAACATCTAGAAGAAAACTTTGAGTCCCCATGCTACTTGTATACGCAGTTAAATGTCTAAATCTACAATTAAATGATAAGCCAAGTGTTTTGTATGTTTTTATAAGATTCATTAGTGCCAATTATTAAGGATACCTACTTAGACTAAATTTTTCTAAAGTAACTCCGCTACTACATAGCATAAAATGAAATTGTAATATATATTATTTAACGTATTACCTAGCATACATTAAGCGCGAGGAGTCCTGGGTTCGAATCCCAAGAAAACAAAAAAAATTGTTTCGGTCGGGCAAGGCACAGAAGTCTGGTCAACTACTTGCCTGTTAAAGAACGGATCAGTGAAACGGACTCAAAATGTGTTCGCCCCATGCCCCACGAGGGGGAAACGGGCGTTCACTTTTTATTTATTTTTTAATTATAATATGTAGCGGCAAAAAAGTCAATTTACCTGCTAGGCTTTATCAATTTAGCTGCCTGCGCCGGAGTTCCCAGTTCAGTCGGGAAATAAGTAGCTCCGTAGAAGTCAAGTCCGTTCTGCAGCAGGATATTGGCCTCTTCTATATTTGCGAGGGTGATGCGTATGACACTGGAAGCCTCTTTCGGCACCATACTGCTCACCAATTCACCATCTATGGTGGTGATGGCACGAGGGCGATTGCTTTTCTAACGGTTTGGGGGTAGATGTACCTAGAAATTAGTATTAAAATTTAGGCCGAGACAGAGTAACCTAACTGAATTTTTATGACTTGAGTTATTTATTTAAATAAAACACTTTAACGGTTTAAAACGCGATATTAGATAAACTTATTTGAAAGTGATTTTTTACTTCGGCCCGACGTTTCGGATGTTAACAGATACAGACAGATAGTAATAAATAAGTGTCTTATAAAGTAAAACAATTTTCTGAAAAGTCTCAATAACAATTAACGATTATTATTTTCCAATTCTTCATTGAAATTTTGCATAGCAATGATTAGAATAGTTCGCCATAAAAGGGGAAAATTCAATGATTCCATTTTCCTCAAACTAGCAATAAGAATCATTCGGAGAACGAAAACAATGCAAGGCGATTACCTAACTAGATTTCTCTTAATTTTCCTTTTAAATATAATAGTTTAAGTTACATAATTTTTATAATTACGAATAAAAAAGAAAAATAGTGAGAAATTTATTACAGATCGATTTATTTACAGACATGTAGTCGATCTGTGCCCTGTCTGATCAAAACAATACATTGTTCCCCCGGATTCGAACCCAGGACCTCTTACGCTTAACGCAATGACTAGACAATAGGTTTAACCATTTAGCTAAAGAGGCGTTTACAATTATTAAAGTAAATGCTTCTCAGGACGGGATAGATGAAGCACGGGATTCACTTGATAGAAAATAAAATACCCCAGCCATATAACATTTAACCAACTTGGTTAGATTATATTTTATCTATGAACGCTTTAGGCTATAAAACATCCCACTGTCACCAATAATAAATGTGGAAAAAAACGGGGGAAATCATCTTTAAGAAAATTCCTTGCGTACGCCGCGAAAACGGTTCAAGATACCCAAAAAAGTGTAAGAAAGTATGTCTCTCTTTAAATGATCTAAAAATTATGCGCACAAAATTCAATCCCCAATATAACCATTCTACGCGGACGAAGTCACTGACACAGCTAGTTAATATAGAATATGGAACATACCAGTGTTTCCTTCCCTTGGCGACCCTGAATAATGCAGGCGCACCACCTCAACCACAGATGTAAACTTATAGAGAGCATGTCTCACGTCTTCCTCTGGGATTTCATCAGGAATATCATATACGTAGATGGTGAACGTCTTCTGAGGCCGGCAGGGGATCGCTATCTAGAAAGAGAACGATGAATTTAAAGCTTAGCTTTGTCTTTCAAGCTGTTCGGTCATGGGGATCGAGAAATTGTTCTGGATGTTTCCCCATGAGAAATAGAGTTTGAAATAAATGATCGACGAATGACGAGATTTCCAAATAAGTTAAAGACAAAGGGCATCCATTACCTTCCTGTAAAACCTCGAACCCGTGACCTTGTGGAAGCCCTTCTTGAAAACCATTTGGTAATCGTCAACGCTGGAGAACTTGAACAAGATTCCAGTGGCGGTCTTAGTGAGTGAGAAGCAGCCTTTGAACTCCATTTTCTCGCAAATGGTGGAAGCTTTCTCCATGCTAAGCCCGTGGGATGGGGTCAGGAGGAAGGCGCCCTTGGTGAGGAAGTGTTCGGAGTCCGATATGTCGGACTCGCTGTCACCCTTCATGAGGGTGTGGATTTGCTCTTTCCACATGTATTGATCTGACATCTGGCGGAGAAAAAGGAAAGCATAACTTTCTGACCACCTGGCCTAGTTTCAGAACGCATAGCCTCAATTTTAGGGTACAGATAAGGTAATAAGATGTTCCGTATTCTTGTATACCACCAGCTATCTTTGAAATTAACTCTTTCACACTCACGGAAAATATTTTTCCCTTCTACAAAAATCGTTATCGATTATTCCATTATAATGGAATCGATATTTTTTAATGAATGTCTAATTTTCCTACTTTATACCCAAAATAGATAAAATATTGTGTTTTATTCGCATATTTAGTCTCAGTTATCTTATATTCCTGTAAGGGTTCAAATTTTTGGAAAAAAAACGGTGCAATTTTCTCAGGACACCGTATACATACAGTTTGTGAGATTTCATTATTTGACGTCACCGTTCTCGATACAATTTACATTACTATAATTGGCTGAAAGTGCTTTCAAATTTAGTTTCTTTAACGTACAACAGAGGCGCTGTTCGTGTTTTCATACAAATTGCGATGAAAAGGCAACTCGACACATTTATATAAGCGTAAGTCAAAATATTCATGCTTGGACCACTGCGCACCAGAGGCAGAACAAAAATATCTTTAAACCTAGATTGATTTATTTAGCTTATTTATTTTCAAATCTAATTCTGTATTAAATCCTTTCATAAAGCAGCACGACAGACCTTTGTCCTCGGCCTACCTACTCGTAGTCGATATCGATAATTCACGAAATTGTTTCTTCAGAAAGCGCCTAATAAGAATACAATGGTGAATGAACGTAATGGCGGCACGGTTCAGTGCGCGCGCGCAACATGTCTTCCAGTTCCTTCTGTTAATTATCGTATTGTTTACAGTCGATGAAAAATTATCGATGATCGATTTTTATGTAGGTATATATCCGGAAATAGTTAATATGATTGATTGAAATTCGATGATGACTATGTGAGAATTGAACAATTGGTTAGAACAGTAGCATGAAACGCTGAGTATACCGGTTCGAGTCCCGCTAGTGTCATCTAATTATTTGAACTTTGGATTATCAATGTACTATTTAAATTAGATTCAATGATTGCATACATTCTGTATGACACAAAATTGCATTTTGATTTTCAGGTATATATGGTATACAATAGGAAACAATATAAAACATAAGTCTAATAGAATTTAATACAAGGAATAAAGAATGAAAAAAATAAAGATTTTACTAATGTTTGTCTGTCACAATAAATATTATCAGATGAAATGTACAAAAATGTTGTATATAAATTTTAAAATAAATATGTATTTATATACTGTCTATAGTTTACGCGAGTAGTACCCATCTAAATAAAACTCTTTAACGGTTTAAATGTAAAATATTGTCTATAGTTTACGCGAGTAGTACACATTTAAATAAAACACTTTAACGGTTTAAAACGCGATATATTAGTTAAACTTATTTGAAAATGATTTTTGTCTCCCCGTGACCACGGCTGCTGCAAAGCATCCGAAACGTCGGGCCGAAGTTAAAAATCATTTTCAAATAAGTTTAACTAACATATCGCGTTTTAAACCGTTACAGTGTTTTATTTAAATATTTATGTAATTTCAAAACCATAAGTTATTTATAATACAAATATTATATTTCTTTACTGCAAAAGTATCAACGCAGTTAAAGATGATTTAACTAATATATATATTTATTTATATAATAAGTAATTGTAGTTTAAACCGTTTAAAACGATATAACATAAAACCTTAAATTGAGGATGATTGTAATTGCCAATAAAACTTAAAAGGGGAGACGAAATTACTTCTTATTTTATCAAACGCTTTTTTAATTGTTCAATTACACCAATTCGTGTGACCATATTCGGGTTTATAGATCTCTTAAACCTTGTCTAGTTGGTACAAAATATTTATCTTGTCCTCCCACACAATTGATATACATACGAGTAATTCTTACCTATTTATCGAACGCGTTGTGCAGAGGTCCTTGGTACGGTCAAAACGGGGGGCAGAAGTTCCATCATCTCTTTGTCTGCATAACAAACAATGAAACGGCCACGAAAATGTGTTCGCCTTATCTTTTAGTGGGGGTTAATTTTTTTTAATACAGTTTGTAATTTAATAAATAAGTTTAACGGGCTCTGTGTTTCGTACTCGCTGACACACACTTAGCCAGAATAGTTCCGAACTTTTGACTAGGTGAATAATATGAACGGATACAAATTTTATATTGTTTAGTTTTTATTGTTTTAATTTATTTTGTAATTTAAATACATTTAAACCGGTTTTAAAACGCGATATATTACTTAAACTTATTTGAAAATGATTTTTAACTTCGGCCCGACGTTTCGGATGCTTTGCAGCAGCCGTGGTCACGGGGAGACAAAAATCATTTTCAAATAAGTTTAACTAATATATCGCGTTTTAAACCGTTAAAGTGTTTTATTTCAATGTGTACTACTCACGTAAAGTATAGACAGTATTTATGACATAAATAATAAAATATTTTTTAATAAGACAAAACCGATATCTAACTGTCAATTTAAAAGTAAAAAACAAACTTACTTTGCAGTGTGTATATTTCTGTCTTTCGTAATGGACACGGTTGCGAGCATACACATTCGTATGTTTTTATATAGAAATAATGTAATCCAAGCACTGCATGTAATTAACGGAATGGTACAATTTATATTCACATTTAACGGTTTAGAACGCGAGATAAACAAGTAATTTATTTAGCGTTTTAAACTGTAGATAGTGTTTCATTTAAAATTAATTTTACGCTATTAAAAGTAAACGCCTGAACAATTTTCGTTTTTTGTTTTGAAGATTAACTTCTCTGAACTTCTCTGTTGCAGGAGACTATTGACTATTAAATGAAAAATATCATTGTTAGTTCATTGTTTTTTTTATCAATTATTATTATAAAATACTAAGAGACAGAGAAAGGAAAAAAAAATTTAGTCACCCTTGATTACGATAATTCACGTTTGTTTGTTGAATTATTTTTTTTCTTCGCAAATATTATTGAAAAAATAAATATCGAATTAATTGCTTGGTAAAATGTTATATGTAAACTTATAATAACGAAAGTACTTTTAACGGTTTAAAACGATACCTTAAATCAATAATTAATTTTATTGGCTGTTCAGGAGCTTTACGTAACTTTGAAGTACCTGAAGGTTATATAACTAAATATAACTCGTGTTTTAAACTGTTACATATGTTTTATTTAATGTGAACCACTCGTCTTCATTATACAAACAACTTAAGGTAAGTTCACTTGCAATATAATATAAAATATTCTTTATTAAATTATACTGTTTCGTCTGTTTACGCAAGTAGTACATTAAATAAAACACTTTAACGGTTTAAAAAGTGATTTATTTTAGTTAACCTTATTTGAAAATTATTTTTAACTACGGCCCGAAGTTTCTTTATTATTTGTTTTATTAACTTCACTATTTAATGATATTTACAAAATAATTCCTTTGACCCATCCCACAGTAGGCTTGAAATCTAATCAATATAACTTGTTTTTCTCATTTAAATAAAACACTTTTAACGGTTTTAAAGCTCGAAATGTATAACTTATCTGAATTTTTTAACTACGTCCCGACGTTTCGAATGCTTAGCAGCAGCAGTGGACACAGGGGGAAAATGTCTGGTGTGCTGTGAAATGAAGTTAACTATATATTTCACGTTTTAAACCGTTAAAAGTATCTTGTTTAAATGTATTACTCGCGTAAAGTAAAGACAATACTTGTTTTTTATTTGTAGGGAAACTTTTCAAAAGCCACTCACCGAACCGCGACCCTTCTCCGTGCCCTTTTGCTCAGTCTTATCGTCGTCCTGTCTGTGTTCTATGTCAGAGGCACCTTCTGCTAAGGACATGGTCTTCAGACTGAACGTGACGAGTGGATACCTCTGCTTTTGGTCTCCCAATGGTGCCACTCAGCCGTGGAACCGCGCCTATAGACTAAAGGATGCATGGAGTGGGGCTTTAACCATTATTTAATTAAAATGTGGGAGTAAGTGTCACTCAAGTCGTCTCAAAAAGAAATTATGTTTAAAGAACCGTTTTTGTAATTTTTCCGTCATCAACTATGATGTGGAAAAGTTACTTTTGCGAACATGATAATTTATTTAAATTCGAGTTTTAATCCGAGAAATTTTGGTTTATTTCAATGTATACTACTCGGGTAAATTACAGACAATACTTGAGTATTTTTTTTTTTCTGAATAAAAAAACGAACAAATTCATATTGTTATTTAATCCCAATCTAAAACATTGAGATAAATATATGTCTTGCAATACGAGCGATTTTAACAGTTTAAAACGGAAACAATATCCAAATGTGATTAAAAATAGATTAATACAATTTTTTCCCGTTTTAAAATGTTTAAATTTATTTATTTATGTGTACTAATCGCATCAAAGACGGAAAACATAGGCGTTGTTACTAATACCACAGTTACTTAATATAATAAACAAAAAAAAACGGTTTATAATAAATATGATTTGTCTAGGCGCCTCCATGCCATGTAAATATTTTTTATTACAGGAAATCTTTTAAGAACCATCGATTATCTTACTGTAACAAGAAAAATGTCATTGTAGTCGATCATATTTGTCTGATACATATTTAAAGAGGAAATCTTTTTTGAAGATTATGGAGTCATTTCTTACATAGCTAAATTTCCTTTATAATTGTCTATTTAAGCATTTATCTACGAAAATGATCGCTAAAAGCCATACATTTACTAAATTTTCACCTGAATGAAATTATGATTCAAACATTTTAATGCAGTCCTCTGGTCGTACAATTTATTTATTACACATTAATTGGATAGTAGTACGCATAGTTAAACAATTACCCTTAAAAATAGGTTACACAATAGGAAATAATATTGATAAACATCTGCGAAGAGGTCAAATTTGGGTCTTGGATTGAGGATTCGCGATATCGATGAAAACGCGCGAGCAGCGGTGCGACCTCTCGGGACGTCAAACAGATCGCATCTTCTAGCGCGGCCATAGTTGTCCGGGACAAACAGTAGACAGACAGCTTCCCTCAAATATGGATCGTCGATTTTCGAAACCATATACAAGATATAATTAATTGTCCACGAGATCTGTTACTTTCCAGAGAATTAAAACCAAGCTTAACAACATATTCTCCTAAGTAGTGCTTATTGGCAATTTGATGGAATCTGGTGCTGATATAGCTTTTTGGATGGTTTTTCTGGTTGATTACGAACTAGTTGTGCCCACGTCCTCCCCTGCGTGCTGATCATCATCACACAATATTAACGACACAAGTACTCACAATTCATCTTACAATATCTTCCAGCTGAATTCGGCTAAAAGATATTGACTTGACCCGATGATTGTATGACATAAATTAAACATATCCTTGCGATAATCTTAGTTCTTTATCGTTACCTGCTTGAAGATAAACCGCGATATCAAAATAGTATTTTACAAGCTGTCAGCTGAAAAGTATCAAATGTTTATAGTTATCAAAAAGGCGCTGTAAGAAATGTGATCAATGCATTTAGTTTATAACCAGTGATGATGTCGAATAAAAAAAGGGGACCTTTTCTAAAGCAAGTAAGTTATATTGTAGTTTTTTTTTGATAGAGGAGAACAGACAAGCTTGGAATATATTTGATGGAAGGTGGAATCCCCCAGTCACATAACATCTAAATAAGATGCGCTATTGGCCTATTTTAACATTGGGTATTCGAAAATCCATAGACTGAAATCGAAACGCCATTATAAGTACGTGTTTTGCGTCTGTGGACGGTGGGTCGTGATTCGGACGCAGTTTAGATATTCCACGTATTTAATATCCAGATCTCCAGACGAAGTCCAACAAGTTTCAGAAATATTTTAAATTGTTAAAAACAACCCGGTGGGAACCAAACCCACGATCCGTTGATTATTTAGACCATTGCACCAATATTTTTATGGTTGTAATGTAACAGAATAAATAAAACACTTTAACGGTTTAAAACGCGATATATTAGTTAAACTTATTTGAAAATGATTTTTAATACGGGGAGACCCGTGACCACTGCTGCTGAAAAGCATCCGAAACGTCGGGCCGAAGTTATAAATCATTTTCAAATAAGTTTAACTAATATATCGCGTTTTTAACCGTTAAAGTTTTTTTATTTAAATGTGTACTATTCGCGTAAACTATAGACAGTATTTAATGTAACAGAATAAATTTGAAGTCTGAGTACGTAGTAATTTTTTCTTTGAAATAAGTTACTATTGATATGAACAGCCATTAAAAAATCTAAATTGTTGAGAAAAAAATTTAAATGTCAGACTTAATTGCGTACTTATAGAGACACTTGCTTTATATTACAGTGCTTTGTAACTGCAGCAGTTTGCTGCAACATCATTGGCCAGGGTGGTGGATTCGGTTACCCGGCCATTTTGTTGCCACGACTCACGTCCAAGGAGTCAGAAATCCCGCTGACTAAACTTCAAGAATCATGGGTTGGTAAGGGATTTTATTAGATCATAAAATATTCACATAACAATGTACTCGTAAGTACCTGTACAATACACTTGTGACGGTTTAAAACAAGCAAAGCGAAAGAAATATAAATGCTATGGCCGAGGCGACAAGTTACATTAAATGTCAGCCGTCGTCACAACTGATGATGATGATGAAGATGATGTAATGTACTCCACGCGAGTAGTACAATACAAGAGACTTTTGACGGTTTAAAACGCGAAATGTATTATTGAACTTTTTATTTAATAATGCCGGGCCGTATAAATTGTAAATAAGTTAACAAACGGTTAAAAACGCGATTTGAACCGTTAAAAATGTTTTATTTAAATCACCATATAAGACGAGACGTCGAGAACCGTATCTTAATGACATCATCATTAATGATAAAACGACAACTAAACCGCTCGAAAGTAAGGTATTACAATATTAAAAACTATTCAAATTAAACCAATGTTAAATAAAACTTACTATATATTCAACCACTATTACTTTACTTTTTAGCTGGCATGTTACCACTGAGTATGCTGGCTGGCTTCTTCTTAGCCACACCTCTGATGGAGCGATTTGGACGCAAAGCGACGCATCTCATTCTGACTCTGCCGTCTATTATTGGATGGGTTATGTTCCTTGCTCCAACAACTGTCACTGTATGTTGAATTAAACATAAAAAAAACTTGTGACCTACACAATCGAACCCAAGATCACCGTATCGTCGAAATATGAACTCTGAAGTTTAAATACAATGTACTTACATATTTAAAACTAAAAAAAAGTATGGATATCCAAAAAAACCACTTGTCCTTCATTCGTTAACTGTTTGTTTAGTCTTGCGTAAAGAAGAGTTTAAATAAAAAATATATAAACTTTTTGATTAGGGAGAACATGATTATTAACGTGCCTATCTCATTCTTAAGAGAACATACTTTTTTTTAATGTTAGAGCAGTAGGGCAAAGCATGCGATTCACTTGATGGTAGGTGAAATGCTATACTTAGCATCTTAACAAGATGCGCTGTCGAACTGTTTTTGACTTTGGATATTCGGAAATCCAGAGACTGAAACCGAAACGTGATCAAACTTCGCGGCCCTTTCATGTGTCGACGGTGGTCCGTGACCCGGACGAAATTCCGATATTTCTATCGCCCATTTAATATCCGGATATCCAGATAATTATGAATCGATTTGATAAATGTAGGACCCGGTGTGGATCGTACCCATGACCCGTTGCTTATTAAATGTACATTACTATCTATTACTAGATTCCCGCGATTTTTGTTATAGACATCGTTTTTCGATTATCTAATCGTTCGTGTTCAAAAACGATTGTTATAAGTATATTACGTTTATATTTCAGGAAGTCATCATAGGCAGGATGTTGCAAGGCATTTCTGGCGGGGTACTGAACACCCTTCGATCAGTACTCATCGGGGAATACACGAGCCCAAAAAATCGCGGAGCATTCTTGGCAACCGTTTCTTTTTCACAGGCGTTTGGTATATTTTTCGTTCACCTCATTGGTTCCATGTTTAGTTGGCAGAAAACTGCTTTGATCTGCGTCTTCCTCCCGTTCTTAAGCCTTATAATGACCATTTACACGCCAGAATCTCCCAGCTGGCTTCTAACGAAAGGGCGCATCGATGAATGCAGGGAAGTCTTCAGGTGGCTCCGAGGTGACGAGGAAGACGAAGAACTCGAAGATATGATACAAGCAAGACTGGCTTTTGAGAAGTGCACCGTGGAAGACGGACAGAATGTCAACAAATTGAGGAATATAGTGCAAACAGTCCAGAAAAAGGAATTCTACAAACCAATTATTCTCATGATTCATGCGAACATAATCATACAGTTCTGTGGTGGTACCACCATGGCTGCATTCGCGACTGTAATTATAGGGAAACTGATGGCAGAAGCGGATATAGCGTTTTGGATGGTGTTCTTGGACACACAGCGTTTGGTGGCCAATTTCCTCGCTGTCTACGTCATCAACAAAGTGAAGAGACGGACTATGATGTTTTCTATGGGAGGGCTATGTGTTCTGAGCCACATTGCCATAGCTTGTTATGTTCTCTTAAGGTTAAAAGGATGGAGTTACAGTTCCCTATGGCTTCCAGCTCTTCTAATAAACGTACAGTACTTCACGGTCGCGGTAGCCATGGTGCCACTTCCAAACATTATTTCAGGAGAGGTCTTCCCGTTGGAATACAGAAGTATCGCGGGAACGATAAGCTTATCTGCTGGGGGGATTTTTACTTTCATCGTTCTGAAAACTTTTCCTGAATTAATAGATAGTTTAGGCCTGCACGGTACTTACTTTTTGTATGCTGTTATACTATCGCTGAATTTAATTGGTGTTTGGATACTACTTCCGGAAACTAAGGACAAAACCCTGCAACAGATTGAAGATGAGTTTCGGGGGAAGGCTTTACGCCTGGACGAAATAGAGGCTAGACAATCGTTGCAGTCAAATCCTATTGCACTATACAAGAGAAGAGTGTCGGAACAGCCATTTAACAGCACTCTGACTTTATGAAAATTATATACAAATATTGATGTTCTCCCTCGATTGAGCTACAGTATTTCAATGTAAAATTTTAATAATCTCAGGATAAGACGTAATAAAAACACGGCCATATTTAATAATTTTCTATATTATTTGGTACACAATAATCGTCGAGTTGTCCAACCATACGCGTTGAAGTGAGCCTACATTAATCGTTAGACATCTTACTCGGGCTAAATCACTTATAGACAGTTTATACACAGCTCTATCACCGGTATAGTTGCACACACGACACTTAACTAGACTCTGTACAACTCCATTCGCATCTATAAACATTTAACATCAGATCAGAAGACATTGGGACATACCTAAACTGTCGTAAGACTCATTTTCCTTCGACAAAGCGGCAAGGATACGGTCGTAGCAACAATTTACGTATGTCCAAACATTGAAACAAACGTGCATAGCATAAAGTTTATATTCATTTCAATGTATAAATTAGACGAAGGCATTAAAACTAAATGTATAAAAAGTAAAATTCATAAATAATATTTTATCTGTCAAAATGTATATGCGAGTTTTTCTCTACGCGACACTTCAGCGATGTAAGGACGTTCAATACAATTTGAACCTTATTGACATATACAGCGGATTTGCTATGGATTTCAAATTAACTTTTTGACACAGTACAAAGAAATATGGGTTTCACTCGATGGAAGCTGAAATGCCCCTATAGCATTTAATTAAGATGTGTTGCAGACTTATTTCGATGTTGGATAAATAGAAATGCACAGACTGAAACCGAAACGAAAATGTAATCTTCAGTTTGTCTATCTGTGGAGTCTTTATATATTTTAGAAATATAAAACGAACCCACAACCCGTTGGTCATATATATAAACTTAGAAAAGATGTTACAGATACGAAATTATTTCAATTTTACAACTTTACGCTATGCCATAGCGGTTCTTTTAAAATTATATTTATAGAGCTTGATCATATTACAAATTCTGTGATATGCCTCGCAGAGAGACCTTTGCGAAGGGTAGGTTTGAGTTCTCAAGCTGTACGGCCGTTGTAATTAAGAAATGGTTCTGGATGTTTCACCGAACGGCAAATAAACCAAAGTAGCTTAGCAAAAAAAGACCTTAAACAATTTGTTGTATAGATATAAATAAATTCTAGTCACAGTCTAAAAAGTTTAATAACATGCTAGACAAATAATTTAAGACCACCTTGTCGCATTCAGAAATTACACATATATTCGCTAAGCTGATATTAATTGAATTTTGCATAAAGAATTTAAATAAAGACTTAAATGGAAGACTGTAATCCCGTACTATTTTAAGTATAACGTAATTTTTTAGGCTGCAAAGGCTCGACATATACAGGTTGCTGTCAGACTTTTATTTAGTATTTTTGCTATGGAATTTTCTTACAACGACCATTAATACTTATTGTACTAAACATTTTCAAAAGACAAAAATTGATTCCGATCAAATTTTAAAGTTCACATTTCATAAATTAAATAACGAAACAGACATTGAATTTAATTACAATTTGTATGCTTGAAATTGAGAACACGCACTTCGCAGTCATCAATGATTGTCATACATTCATGTAGCTCTGATGTTATTGTTGGTTAGAAAAATGTTCTTGCGCCTAAAGTACTCTACCGGTAGTAAAATTTTGCAAGTAAGCTCAGAATTCATTAAACCGCGTGCTATTTAAGTAAATGTAATAAGTTTGACGACAGTCTGTATATGAATGTGTAATTCCTGACTGACAGTTATTAGAAAAAATAAAAAAAACATAACCTAATAAGCCATAGAAATTACACATACAAGTATATTTTCATAAAGACACAGTATTTTATTATTTTACTATTTGTGGGCGATAACATGTTTGATTTACGCAAAATTGTAAACTCATTAACAACTAGATGACGTTGATTTCATTTCTGCTTCGTTACGATTTGTAATAACAGATGGCGCGTTAAAAAAACCAAATAACTTTTATCATCTTAGTTACCATGTGCTGTCGGAATTAATCACTAGCTACCATGATGTACCTGTAGTTTACGCGTGCATTCTATAAGAGACTTGAAACGCGTACAACAGTGGTTCCAATTTTTTCAAAAAAATTAATTCGTGTCAACAATTTCGTGGGTTTTTCTAACGCACCAATGATTGTAATACTTAGCATACTTTTACCGGTATTAAAAAATAACATATATTCAGGGATTGTCCATTAATCACGTGAGGTGTAAAAAAGGGAGGGGGAGTCACGAAAATAACAAAATTTATAGGCTTATACCACACACTAAGGGGAGGATGGGGAGATAGTGTCAAGGTTTAAGAGTTGTTGAGGCCTGTTGTTTAAAAAATGTTAAGAAATGATCAAGTGATGAATGGACGGCCCCTTACGACAACGATCACACACTCAAGTCCACAAGTCCAATTCTAAAAGTACACATTAAAAAATTTGCATCTAACATAGTAAAATATTTACAAACTCTTTGACTTCATTCAGGTTTAACTAGAAGCGTTTTCGATTACAATACGATTAGTATTACCTCTTTATTTTTACAAAAACTTTTGAACACTATCAAATTTGGCTGCGACACGTAGTGCATTCTAGACGTCCGTTAAAGCCAATTTTGAAAAAGCACTCCAATTCCAATCTTCCGAATATCTTTTGAAAACGCTTGATCGATTTTTCGTAATTTTAAAGAAATACCGAATCCACCACGAATCCCTTCATTTGCAGAAACGGTTGAAAGATTGTTGTAAAACAATTGAGACATGTACTATAAAGGCAAGTGTAATAAAACCTTCAAAAGTTCAACCCTCGTTCTAAGGGCGTGTTCACAATATCAACAGAGACTGACAAAATTACTGATTACAGGTTTTATGGTACACGCATGGAAAAGGTGGACTCTTGGCCCACTGTTAGGACCAAAACTACACATTGTATCAACATCTAAAACACCGATAGAAATTCTGTAGTTAGATAAGAGTTTCAAAAAGTTTATTTCACCTTTGAGATTTTTTTTTCGAATCAAAACCTATTTTGGTGGTTTATTTTTAAGTCTGTTTAGTTTATGAATTATTCTACATGAATATGACTTAAGCATGAGTAATGATAATTTGTCTACAAAAAAAAATAACCAATTTTTTTTTACATACAACGCGATAGTTGTCAAGTTTACTATTTGTTCAATATCTAGTACACATAACAATACAATGTTACTTGTAACAAACTTGTAAAAAAATTAATGGGACACAAGTTTAGTAGGATCCGGAATATAGATTTCATTAGATGCCCGTGAAAAATTCACTCTAACATTTATTTTTTAATAAAAAAAAATTACAAAGTCAAAAAGTGTTTGATGGTGGAATCCGTATTTGCTATCCAGGTCAAAAATACAACTATCATTGCATGTCTGAGTTTAATTAAATGATTAAAAAAAATCGAATTATTGATTATGATTTTGTTACAAAACGTCGCTAAAGAAGTATTTTTATTGTTTTTTTTTTACAAATTCCAATAACATATACTGAATGAAAGAACAAGTTTGTATTTGGGAAAGATATACACTAAATTGGTTTGTGACCCCCAAAAATCTTCTTTCGTCATATAGTGTTTAATTTGATATGAATAACAGAACTAAATACATTTTTTTATTTATATGGTAAGGTTTTTAAAAACGTGATGATGTTCTTCATTAAGAAAATTCATTAGGGTAATTAGTCAAAAATATACTACGCGATTGCCTTTAGTTCAACTTCGAGCCTACACGATAGCTTAGCTCAACATCAAGCTACACGACAGCGTAGCTTAATGTGGAAAGATTGTAATGTACACAGCGAACGTTGTTATACAGGTGTACCTAAGGCATAATCTATACATAGTTTAATACAAGTCGTATCAGGCGATCACTGCTTCTCCGAAGGTCGGTCGTTACGCGACTGTGCGCACGAGCCGCATACGTAGTCATCGTCTTCTCTGAGCGCACCACGGCTGAGTCCCACGCAGTGCATGTGGAACCATTGATCACATCCACCATCGCACTGCACCCAATCCACTTTACCTATAATAAAATTTTATTTTTATCAATATATCAGAAACAATATGATAAATGTTTAGTCCTACAATATTTACTACTTTAATGCAATGTATGAAATGCTAGAATGGACTGCAACGGGCGGCTTTATAACTAACACACAATCTCTTCTCAGGAAGTTAAAACAAAATTAGATATGTAAAAAAATTGCGAAATAGTAGTTACACTTCTGTGCCGGTTTGGCTTCCAACTCAGTAACTCTTTTATTTTGCGTCCAACCTACATACAGTCTGTCACAGACTGAAAGTCTTAAGAAATAGAGCCTTGTTTCAGCAGAGAACTGTAAGAATATTACATTATCAAAGTATAATGTAACTTACCCGTGGGCCGCAGACACGAAGCCGCAGCACAATCCTCATCATCATCACCCGATGACGGTGATGAAGTACTGCTGCGACGTGACGCGGACTGCTGTTGTCGGCGTGTCGCCGATGTGCTAGCTGCTGTGTGACCTCCGCGTGTCTGACCACCTGTGGGTAAAATTTATTTACCATTAGAGGCATACTTGATTGCGTTTTTAAAAGTCAGATACATCTTAACTTAGATTTAAACAAAGGTGCAAAGTATAGGACATTGAACCTTAATGTCTATGTTTTAAGGATACAATTATTTATAGTGACGAACGAGACATGGTAGCTCAATTACTTAAGCTGGTACGGATATCACTGTGAATACCAATTCAAGTCCGTGTCATCGATTTTTTTTAACCTTATAAGATTTTGAATTTAGTCAGGTATGATTTATATAAAATGCAATGTATGGTATGTAGAGATTTTTGACAAAGATAGAATACCTAATCTCGTGTGCCGGACGTGTTTGGCTCGTTTCCGCCGTTCCTGGCGTGCCATGTAGTGTTTGCGCATCATCAGGCCGGAAGCGGACGAGAGCGGCTGCTTGCGGTTTAGATAGTTGGTTGTAGTTGATGAGCCCCGCTTTATTTGCGTCTTCGTTGTTGGTGTGGTACCTGGACGGCACGGGATTGATTTAGAGTACTACGTTAAATAGCAACCCCCCCCCCCTCTACTACAAAAAAAAATTGAGCATGTAATAGCTACAATATTCAGGGGTGGAGGTGTGTTGTACTAAGAACAAGAAATCGTAGAATTGCAGAAAGATAATTAGATCTAAATTTAGTGGATCGGTTAAAAATATTCTTCTTATAACTTTAGAAGATCATTGTAGGAGTGACTAAGGTGGAGCTCATTTAATATTAAAGACTAATTGCCCAAAAACTAATTATTACACTGTAATTTTAGGAGTGCACGTACAATAACGATTTTAAACATTAAAATCAAAAAGACCAAATAGTGTTTCAATTGCAAACAGATTTGGCTCCTCTTTTTACTGAATACAATTTTGAACCCATACCATGCGGACGACTCCTCTTCATCTGATGAGGATGCCTGGGCTGTGGAGGTCGCTTCCGTCTGCCGGCTTCTAAAACACGACCGGTACGACGACCTTCTGCGCTGCGTACTGCAGACACCGCGCTCCATATTTGGGCCTGTTCTTCTAACCGCACCTACACGAGGACAAATAAAGCGTCCTTTATAATAACACTTATATCTCGAGTTAGCGTATAGTAAGCGTAATTATTTTTTTTTAATAATGGATAATTACTTAGAACAATATTATGAGCCTGGCCTCCTTTAATTTATAAGTAAGTACATAAGATTTTTCCCTCTATTGTATGTTTTTTTTTTGTGGTATGTGTTAAAATAGTAAAGCTATAAAAAAATAAAATAATTAAATGATTTTTGTTTTTTGAAACTATATTCTATATGTAAAAAAGTCATACCTCAAGCAAATCTCCTTCTAGCATGACATCTTCCAGTTTCTGTAAAATGCTGGGCGTGCGACTGTTTGGTGAACGCGGTGACGCACTATACGCATGCTCTACGCTCGCTGACGACCTGTTGACGTACAGTATGTCATTAAAGAGAAATTTGCGTCTCTAAAATTTTTTTTCAATCCTAACTAATATATTATAAATGCGAAAGTAACTCTGTCTGTCTGTTACTCTTTCACGCCAAAACTACTGAACGGATTTGAATGAAATTTGGTACACAGATATTTTAGAGCCTGAGAAAGGGCATAATTCCAAAAAAGGGTTGATAGGGGTTGAAAAGGGGGGAGTGAAAGTTTGTATGGAAATTCGTGGTTTTTGAAGATAGAACATTGAAACTTTCTTCTTTGGCTTTTTGAGAGTAGGAGTGGGTTTGGGAGTGGAAGTTAGAGTAGGAGCGATGTGAGGTGAGAGTGTTGCGGCAAATTAGCACTCACAACATAGATTGGCTGCGATAAATACGCAATTACATAAATTAATTAGCCTAAACCATTACAAATTCTACCCCAAGTCATTATTGCACCCGAACGAAGTCGCGGGCACAGCTAGTAATATTATAAACATGAAAGTTACAAAGTTTAATATTTCGCGTTTTAAACCGTTAACAATGTTTTATTAAATTAGGCATTTTTATATTATATATAGTCTGAGTATTATCTAAAAATATTTATCATTTATTCATTAGAAGGCTGTAAAATGAAAGTTGGCGATAAAAAGAGTGGCGGCGAGTTTCTTGCCAGTTCTTCTTGTTCGTTCTACGCCCTTGATTTGAGAACTGGTAGTAATTGTAAATTAGAGTCTAGTTTCTAACTTATTTGACGTTCATAAATGTACCTAGTTACCTACATGAATAAATGATTTTTGACATTGTCTTTTACTAAGGAAATCGAAACATCGATCGATAATCCAACCTGTTGGTGCCAAGTGCTGTGGTGTCTGTCCTGTAGGCGGCCAATTGTGGGCTGGAGAGCATCGCGCGCGCACTATCCTGCCATGCCATCGCTCGTTCAGTCACGCATTGAAGGGCTTCGCCTTCGGCCAGGCGAACTGGTAGCTTTTGTAACCATACCTGTTAAACGTAGTTTCAAATAGGATTAAAACACCTTTAATGTAACATTTTTATATTACTCAATATTTTTTCTAGAACAAAAAGACTAACGATGAAGTACTGAAGTAAGATTTTGTTCAGTCCATATAAATGGAATAATCTACCACTCGTGTAATGTAATTTCAACCTAAACAATTATGTGTCATGGTCCAATATCCTATGTTTTATAGCGTAACAAATCATTAAAAAAATTACATTTTTTGTGTACACGACTGAGAATAGAACGTAGGCTATTTTACAACATTAGTACAGATCAGAGAGGCTCACCGACGGAATTCCTTTTCAATTTTAATGCTTTGTTATCGATTCTTTATTGTCTTTAATTACCTATACTACTTGTAGCCCGCCATATTCATATTTAATTGATTAATGTTTTTTTCAAACATGGTTTTCTTGTACGATACTAACCAATAAAGCCAGAATTCGGTGCAGCCTGGGTCGTTTCGTCCTAGTGCAGTCTGAACAGAGAAACTTGGGTTCCGGTGTGGGAAAGGGAAGCTCTATCCTTTCTGGTGAGTCCTCTCTATTATCCTGATTTTCACGCGCTGCTGATATACACGAAGCTGCAAATTACACATTGATTAGTTTCGTGATTTTTTTTTAATATTAATAATTCAACTTGGACATATATAATATTTGTATGAAATGAATATTATTATAACAATTTGTAGTTGAAATATAGTGTTACCAAATTTTGATTTATTTTAACTACGGACTACGTTTCGGATGCTTTTCGGCAATCGAAGTCAAAACGGGTCCCGTATATTTTGCGTTTAAAACCGTTAAAAGTGTACAACTCGAGAAACTATAGCTGATAATTTGGTTTAACACATTTATGCCGTTGTATTTGGGGTTTTGAAGGAGGACAAAACTTTAAAACAGTAAAATCTAAATTTGTATGTTATCATACTATAATATTAAAAGCTACGTCATGTTTAGTATCAAAGTTGGATATGATAGGGCTGTGGGAATTCCCTTTCATCCTATACTTGGGCGTAACATAAGGTATTATGAACAAAAGAATTATTACCATGAAACCAGTCCTTGCATAGTTCACACTGCGACATGAGACCATACTGCCTCTTCTGACATGTACAGAACGTTAATCCAGCTGTTGGGGGTGACCTGACTTCTTTGCGCATGTTCTTTACCCTGAAAAATCCATATCTTTGTTAGACAGCATATTCATAGTAAAAATAATAAACGAGGGAAGCCTTAGTTCTGTGGGTCTTTCCTAGTCATAAATTGAACATCAAGTAAAAATGAGTTTTGATGGGAATATCTAATTTCATTCGGATCAGAATCAACCGTCCACAGATAAAAAAAGTTGCGAGTTTAAGTTCATTTCACACGCAACGGTAACTATCAATTTAAAATATTCGGCACAAATTTAACATTTAATATTGTTTAAAGGTGGGATGGGATTACTGCAAGTGCGTGTGAAGATGCGTACGAGTTCGTGATACGTATTTAACCTACGAGTAAGAATTAAAATTACAATAAATTACGAAAACAACGTCTTATGCTTTACAGCTTAAGAAAATCGTTTAAGATGAAATTATATCGTATAACGTTTGAAAACTTTTATAATTTTCGTGTCATTGTACATGGTGTCACTATATAATTAAAAACAAAAAAAGACATGTGCAGGACTTGAATCGGCATCCACAGCTTTCCGTGCACTCTAACCAACTGAGCTACCGTGTCCTACCCGTCATCGTATAATTCTGCACCTACCGTAACTCTCGAATAGCAGCTAACTCTCTCAACTCAGCCTGTTTGAAAGCAGCAACAATTTCAGTAGGCGTCGCGTCTTCGCTAAAGTGTTTTAATAATGGCGGCTCCTCTGACGTATCCCTCCCACGGCGACGATTCGCACTACTCGACGTTGTTTCAGTGCGTGGTGATAGTGCTTCCAGCAAGGAGAATGGCCAGTTCTGAAAATTAAGTCGCGCTATTAGAATGTTTTTTTTATATCTTCAAACTTTGATTATATGGCAGCTACTATACTAGCTGTACTATACTAAAAAAATGTTGTTTCTGAATTTGGCATTTACCTTCTTTAAAAACATTTCAGCGGCGCCCCTCTTCCACTCCTTCGCGGACTGTAGAGCGTTCGCAAGTTGATCCTTTTCGAATAGCGACAGCGGTATCTGCATCGACCGTTTGACTAACGCCTCCACGCTGTGCATGTACGGGTATAGTTCTTTTGATTGCATTTCTTCCACCTGTAAACACAATACCATTAGTTATGTACAAATTATAATAACTTGCTATTACTACAATTAAATAAAATTAAACTCATTAGTAGTAGTACCTTAAATAAAACAATTTTAACGATT